GGAAAATTTTGAAAGGTCATAACTTTGTTTCTATTATAGATAGAAAGCTGAATCTTTCACTGCATTTTATCTCTTTCAAAGGACTACAATCTTTTCAGCTCATTTGCACTTATAGTTCCTGAGATAAAATCGTGTTAAGCAATTTGGGGTGATTTATCAATTTTTCAATTTTTCTGAGTGCCTTTTTTCATAGATTTCGGCTTCAAATCTGAGAATAATTTTGTGTATGAAGTTTGGGGTATGTTGATTGACTATTAGGACACAAAATCTCGACAAAACAAAATTTGAAATTTCATCGTTGTTTTAGTAAGAAGGACCTACCTTATGATTTTTTTGGAAAATTTTGAAAGGTCATAACTTTGTTTCTATTATAGATAGAAAGCTGAATCTTTCACTGCATTTTATCTCTTTCAAAGGACTACAATCTTTTCAGCTCATTTGCACTTATAGTTCCTGAGATAAAATCGTGTTAAGCAATTTGGGGTGATTTATCAATTTTTCAATTTTTCTGAGTGCCTTTTTTCATTGATTTCGGCTTCAAATCTGAGAATAATTTTGTGTATGAAGTTTGGGGTATGTTGATTGACTATTAGGATACAAAATCTCGACAAAATTTTTTTTGAAATTTCATCGTTTTATTAAGAAGGTACCCCCCTTATGATTTTTTCGAAAAACTTTGAAAGGTCATAAATTTTTTTCTATTATAGATAGAAAGCTGAAACTTTCACTGAATTTTATCCCTTTCAAAGGACTACAATCCCTGAAAATTTCAGCTCATTCGCACTTATAGTTCCTGAGATAAAATCGTGTTAAGCAATTTGGGGTGATTTATCAATTTTTCAATTTTCCTGAGTGCCTTTTTTCATAGATTTCGGCTTCAAATCTGAGAATAATTTTGTGTATGAAGTTTGGGGTATGTTGATTGACCATTAGGAGACAAAATCTCGACAAAAAAATTTTTGAAATTTCATCGTTTTATTAAGAAGGTACTCCCCTTATGATTTTTTCGAAAAACTTTGAAAGGTCATAAATTTTTTTCTATTATAGATAGAAAGCTGAAACTTTCACTGAATTTTATCCCTTTCAAAGGACTACAATCCCTGAAAATTTCAGCTCATTCGCACTTATAGTTCCTGAGATAAAATCGTGTTAAGCAATTTGGGGTGATTTATCAATTTTTCAATTTTTCTGAGTGCCTTTTTTCATTGATTTCGGCTTCAAATCTGAGAATAATTTTGTGTATGGAGTTTGGGGTATGTTGATTGACCATTAGGATACAAAATCTCGACAAAAATTTTTTTGAAATTTCATCGTTTTAGTAAGAAGGTACCCCCCTTATGATTTTTTTGAAAAACTTTGAAAGGTCATAACTTTTTTTCTATTATAGATAGAAAGCTGAAACTTTCACTGAATTTTATCCCTTTCAAAGGACTACAATCCCTGAAAATTTCAGCTCATTCGCGCTTATAGTTCCTGAGATAAAATCGTGTTAAGCAATTTGCGGTGATTTATCAATTTTTCGATTTTTCTGAGTGCCTTTTTTCATAGATTTCGGCTTCAAATCTGAGAATAATTTTGTGTATGGAGTTTGGGGTATGTTGATTGACCATTAGGATACAAAATCTCGACAAAAAAATTTTTGAAATTTCATCGTTTTAGTAAGAAGGTACCCCCCTTATGATTTTTTTGAAAAACTTTGAAAGGTCATAACTTTTTTTCTATTATAGATAGAAAGCTGAAACTTTCACTGAATTTCATCCCTTTCAAAGGACTACAATCCCTGAAAATTTCAGCTCATTTGCACTTATAGTTCCTGAGATAAAATCGTGTTAAGCAATTTGGGGTGATTTATCAATTTTTCAATTTTTCTGAGTGAATTTTTTCATAGATTTCGGCTTCAAATCTGAGAATAATTTTGTGTATGAAGTTTGGGGTATGTTGATTGACCATTAGGATACAAAATCTCGACAAAAAAAAATTTGAAATTTCATCGTTTTAGTAAGAAGGTACCCCCCTTATGATTTTTTTGAAAAACTTTGAAAAGTCATAACTTTTTTCCTATTATAGATAGAAAGCTGAAACTTTCACTGAATTTTATCCCTTTCAAAGGACTACATTCCCTGAAAATTTCAGCTCATTCGCACTTATAGTTCCTGAGATAAAATCGTGTTAGGCAATTTGGGGTGATTTATCAATTTTTCAATTTTTCTGAGTGCCTTTTTTCATAGATTTCGGCTTGAAATCTGAGAATAATTTTGTGTATGAAGTTTGGGGTATGTTGATTTACCATTAGGATACAAAATCTCGACAAAAAAAAATTTGAAATTTCATCGTTTTAGTAAGAAGGTACCCCCCTTATGATTTTTTTGAAAAACTTTGAAAAGTCATAACTTTTTTTCTATTATAGATAGAAAGCTGAAACTTTCACTGAATTTTATCCCTTTCAAAGGACTACATTCCCTGAAAATTTCAGCTCATTCGCACTTATAATTCCTGAGATAAAATCGTGTTAAGCAATTTGGGGTGATTTATCAATTTTTCAATTTTTCTGAGTGCCTTTTTTCATAGATTTCGGCTTCAAATCTGAGAATAATTTTGTGTATGGAGTTTGGGGTGTGTTGATTGACCATTAGGATACAAAATCTCGACAAAAAAAAATTTGAAATTTCATCGTTTTAGTAAGAAGGTACCCCCCTTATGATTTTTTTGAAAAACTTTGAAAAGTCATAACTTTTTTTCTATTATAGATAGAAAGCTGAAACTTTCACTGAATTTTATCCCTTTCAAAGGACTACATTCCCTGAAAATTTCAGCTCATTCGCACTTATAGTTCCTGAGATAAAATCGTGTTAAGCAATTTGGGGTGATTTATCAATTTTTCAATTTTTCTGAGTGCCTTTTTTCATAGATTTCGGCTTCAAATCTGAGAATAATTTTGTGTATGAAGTTTGGGGTATGTTGATTGACTATTAGGACACAAAATCTCGACAAAACAAAATTTGAAATTTCATCGTTGTTTTAGTAAGAAGGACCTACCTTATGATTTTTTTGGAAAATTTTGAAAGGTCATAACTTTGTTTCTATTATAGATAGAAAGCTGAATCTTTCACTGCATTTTATCTCTTTCAAAGGACTACAATCTTTTCAGCTCATTTGCACTTATAGTTCCTGAGATAAAATCGTGTTAAGCAATTTGGGGTGATTTATCAATTTTTCAATTTTTCTGGGTGCCTTTTTTCATAGATTTCGGCTTCAAATCTGAGAATAATTTTGTGTATGACATAGGTGGGTAATATGAAGAGGTGACTGACGGTACAAATATCTGATAAAGCATTGGAAGTCGTGTGGTGTATCTACAATTTCAGATTAATGTTTCTATAAGCTTCATGATGGAAACAGTTTAACACTCATCACTAGTATATGACTTTTGGAACCGAAAATATCGGAAACGTCAAAAATTGCTCAGGTATTATCGAATGTAATACCACAAGAGATTTCAGGATTACCGGATAATACTTTCACCTGTCACGAAATGCGTTACGCAGCAACACCACGACTCCGAAGGAGGAGTGGTGTTGCTGGTAACGCGTTGAGTGTCAGGTAAAAGTATTAGGTAATCCTGAAACATCGAGTGGTATTCAAAAGGTTATACAACGAACTAAACTTTAATACACCAAGCGCGATAATCCCAAAAGGCTTATCACTTTTTAAGCCTCTTGTGTCATATGGGAATAATATACAGTGAGTTGTATACCTAACGTACTGAATTTACACAACACAAAATAACTCTTAATTTAGAAACTTCAAAGTTTGAGTCACTGGACTGTTGCAAAACGGATTTTGTATTATTTAAAAAAAACTATTGATCCGTGAAGTAAAGAAAAATTTAAATTACAAATTTCAATTAAAGAAATGTTAGCGGATCTGTTGACCAAGGCGTTGCAAAAAAATTAAAACATAACATTTGCTAATGAGTTCATAGGTATTAAGGAGGAATATGTTGACATATAGCAAGAATTCCTAATTAAAACAAATATCTCCTATTTCCCATTATAAGTTGAGATCATCACGAATTCACTTATGGTTGGAATAATATTTGGCCTTGATATATCTTCTCTTATGAACCTATTATTTTAGTGATTTGAATTTATCGCATTAATATTATGCTACACGCGCAAAATTTTGCACGTCCCGTCACGAATGGTGATTACTGAATAACATGTTCTGTATAATAAATTGATTTTTCTCCATTGTATAAATGGTGCTTTAAGTTTGTAGAGGTCATGTTTAGATTTTTAATTACTTTTTTCAGGAAAATTCATCTGGTGTTTTGACTTTTTGTTCAATTTGTTCCTACTAGGAATTTCATTTCTATAAAATCATAATTTTAGCATTTTCCATTTCGACCTGCATATCTTAATGTGTGAAAGATTAGTTCTCACTGTTAGCAGTATGTGAATCTTAATCAGAATTAAAGGGTTTTGCACAAGGTTTTTTTTCAGTTGAGCAAGTGGATTGAAGAAATGAACATTTATGGATTAAAATTACGGAAGACTCTTTGAGTTTTTCTTAAAAATTTCCAAATGACAAAAATTGCACAAATAAATCTATAGGTTTTCAGTAGAAAATCATGTAAGACTTTTTAGAATAATATCACCCATTATATTAATTGTTAATAATTAGTAAAATATTGGGAGTCAGCATATTATTACACTCTGTAGTTATATCAATTACTATAAAATAATATAAGCACTGAATTTGCAAACATATTGGAAATTGGTAGGTAGGTAGGTACAGCATTTGAAACTTATGAACTGATAATTCAGTAGAAAACTTTCGACTATTGACAAAAATATGACTGACCTATGGTTGTCTCTACATCGACAGTTACAGGAAAAACCAACGCCAAAAATGTAATTTGTAATTTTCAAGTGACCTTATTCGAACTTACAATACACATATAGAAACTTCAAATTCATTTTTGTCTTAAAATTACTTACCATTTGGACATTGGTTGACTTGAGTAGCTGCACAAACGGCAACAAATCCCGTTAAAGCAACCAACACTAACCACTTCATTATTTTAATTGAAACTAGAAACCGAATAAACCAAACTAGCTCTCTCGGACGGTAGCAAGGAACCTGCTTTGGCCCTGGTACCGCTTCTCTTCACCTCTGATGATAGTCTAATTATTTTTTTGTATGCGGTACCATTGGCCGCTAATATTATTTTGGTAGGATCACTGCTCTGCTCTTACTTCTATCATTTGCTGTTGGGATCATTATGGAACCAAAATGAGGAGTGGTGTTAAAGAATTACCTTTGACGGTAAATTTGCGTGCAAAATGTAGATTCCATGGTCGTTTTTTTGTGTTTTCGCTTGAATTGGATGTTATAATGCAGATGGAACGATTATTTTTTCATTGCCTATTATCGAATTAATATCACTGTTTTTTTTTTATTGTTGATTTGCGTGGATCAAATTAGATAATTATGATATTGTTACTCAGCCAGGATATTACGTTTATTTAAGGTTTCTGCTTTTTCAAGCGAGAATAGTAGATTTTCTTTAAAAAAAAAACCGAATACCTAATTGATTATTTTCATAAAATTCAAAGTTACTTAAAGGCTTATTTGTTGAGGAGCAATACAAACAGTTTTAGTTTGGAGAAGATTTGATGTAGGTATTCCTAATCTCTTACCTAGAATTTTTTGAAAATTACCAAAACCAAAGGTAGGTATGTTATATGTATAACTGTTTTAATGATACCTACTAATTGAATGCACATTAGCGTAAGTAGTTTTCAAATTAATCTAAAAAACAAAAGTTCATCATTTATAAGTATCTAATTAGGTACTTACCTATATTTTTTACATTAGGTATAAATAAAATTAATAAATGTTCGAATGTTATAAATTTGCAAATGTTTCTCTGGATATAGCATTTTTAAATTATTATTCTTTTTTATTGTTCCTAGGGTTGTAATGTAAAAACCACAGTAGATTTAGACCTCAAACCTAATAAGTCTTCTAATACAAAAGTATCGTTGTCAGTAGTATTCCAGTTGAGTTTTTTTTTCCCAAATCTTCAAAAATTTCTGTTTTAGTTATTTTGAGGTCTTTTTTTTATACCTTCTTGTTACAGGAGTTGCAAAATGCATAGGTATATGCTGTTAAATGACCTTCAATCATCAGACCTCGTTGAACTTTGAGCCTAATAGAAAACTCGTTTGAAACTGTAAAAAGTGCCAATCTTACAACTTTCAGTGAATATAGAACGAGTTGTTTGAAACATCGATTAATTGGAATTTAATAAAAAAAAACTTATTGGAATATCAAAACTTCTCAATTCAAGGAAATATGTCTTGCTTTTTGTTAACATGATTCGGGTGTTTTTTAATTTCTATCATTTCACTCAATAATCTCTTTTTGTAATTCTGTTGTCTTGACAGGATTTCGGTCTTTTCGTAATCAAAGGGATGATGAAACTTCTCAAAACGTTCAGCAAGAGCGGTTCTTGAGTTACTGTTGATAAGTAGGTACATGTGGTTTCGTACTTCGTTTATGCTCGGAAATTTTAGTTTTTAGATATCTAGAGGTTTGGCCAATATAAACTCCATTACACAAAGAACAAGAAATCTCATAAATCATATTACTTTCGAGGTCCTTTGGTGTGTCTGTCTTCAATTTTGAAAAAAAAAACCGCTTAGTGTGTTAGTGTTTTCATTCTTGAATGGGATGCTGACATTGTCATTACTGCAAGTTTTTCAGAAAGACCATCAATATATGACATTTTATAAAGAAAATTTTAGTTAATGGAGTTCAGGGTATCACGAGGGACCATTAAAACACAAAATCTCGACAAAAAAATTTTTGAAATTTCATCGTTTTAGTAAGAAGGTGCCTACCTTATGATTTTTTTGGAATTCTTGAAAGGTTTTAACTTTCTTTTTATTATAGATAGAAAGCTGAATCTTCCAATTTTATCCCTTTCAAAGGACTACAATCCCTGAAAATTTCAGCTTATTTGCAATTATGGTTCCTGAGATAGAATCGTGTTAAGCAATTGGGGTGATTTATCAATTTTTCAATTTTTCTGAGTGCCTTTTTTCATAGATTTCGGCTTCAAATCTGAGAATAATTTAATTTATGGAGTTCAGGGTATCACGAGGGACCATTAGGACACAAATTCTTGACAAAAAAAAATTTGAAATTTCATCGTTTTAGTAAGAAGGTACCTATCTACCTTATGATTTTTTTGGAAAACTTTGGAAGGTCATAACTTTCTTTCTATTATAAATAGAAAGCTGAATCTTTCACTGAATTTTATCCTTTCCAAAGGACTACAATCCCTGAAAATTTCAGCTTATTTGCACTTATAGTTCTTGAGATAGAATCGTGTTAAGCAATTGGGGTGATTTATCAATTTTTCAATTTTTCTGAGTACCTTTTTTCATAGATTTCGGCTTCAAATCTGAGAATAATTTAGTTTATAGAGTTCAGGGTATCACGAGGGACCATTAGGACACAAAATCTTGACAAAAAAAAATTTGAAATTTCATCGTTTTAGTAAGAAGGTACCTACCTTATGTTTTTTTGCAAAAACTTTGAAAGGTCATAACTTTCTTTCTATTATAGATAAAAAGCTGAATCTTTTACTGAATTTTATCCCTTCCAAAGGACTACAATCCCTGAAAATTTCAGCTCATTTGCACTTATAGTTCCTGAGATAGAATCGTGTTAAGCAATTGGGGTGATTTATCAATTTTTCAATTTTTCTGAGTGCCTTTTTTCATAGATTTCGGCTTCAAATCTGAGAATAATTTAGTTTATGGAGTTCAGGGTATCACGAGGGACCATAAGGACACAAAATCTTGACAAAAAAATTTTTGAAATTTCATCGTTTTAGTAAGAAAGTACCTACCTTATGATTTTTTTGTGAAACTTTGAAAGGTCGTAACTTTCTTTCTATTATAGATAGAAAGCTAAATCTTCCACTGAATTTTAACCCTTTCAAAGGACTACAATCCCTGAAAATTTCAGCTCATTTGCACTTATAGTTTCTGAGATAAAGTTGTGTTAAGCAATTGGGGTGATTTATCAATTTTTCAATTTTTCTGAGTGCCTTTTTTCATAGATTTCGGCTTCAAATCTGAAAATAATTCAGTTCATGGAGTTCAGGGTATCACGAGGGACCATTAGGACACAAAATCTTAACAAAAAAAATTTTGAAATTTCATCGTTTTAGTAAGAAGGTACCTACCTTATGATTTTTTTGTGAAACTTTGAAAGGTCGTAACTTTCTTTCTATTATAGATAGAAAGCTGAATCTTCCACTGAATTTTAACGCTTTCAAAGGACTACAATCCCTGAAAATTTCAGCTCATTTGCACTTATAGTTTCTGAGATAAAGTTGTGTTAAGCAATTGGGGTGATTTATCAATTTTTCTGAGTGCCTTTTTTCATAGATTTCGGCTTCAAATCTGAGAATAATTCAGTTTATGGAATTCAGGGTATCACGAGGGACCATTAGGACACAATCTTAACAAAAAAAATTTTGAAATTTCATCGTTTTAGTAAGAAGGTACCTACCTTATGATTTTTTTGTGAAACTTTGAAAGGTCGTAACTTTCTTTCTATTATAGATAGAAAGCTGAATCTTCCACTGAATTTTAACGCTTTCAAAGGACTACAATCCCTGAAAATTTCAGCTCATTTGCACTTATAGTTCCTGAGATAAAGTTGTGTTAAGCAATTGGGGTGATTTATCAATTTTTCAATTTTTCTGAGTGCCTTTTTTCATAGATTTCGGCTTCAAATCTGAGAATAATTCAGTTTATGGAGTTCAGGGTATCACGAGGGACCATAAGGACACAAAATCTTGACAAAAAAAATTTTGAAATTTCATCGTTTTAGTAAGAAGGTACCTACCTTATGATTTTTTTATGAAACTTTGAAAGGTCATAACTTTCTTTCTATTATAGATAGAAAGCTAAATCTTCCACTGAATTTTAACCCTTTCAAAGGACTACAATCCCTGAAAATTTCAGCTCATTTGCACTTATAGTTTCTGAGATAAAGTTGTGTTAAGCAATTGGGGTGATTTATCAATTTTTCAATTTTTCTGAGTGCCTTTTTTCATAGATTTCGGCTTCAAATCTGAGAATAATTCAGTTTATGGAGTTCAAGGTATCACGAGGGACCATTAGGACACAAAATCTCGACAAAAAAAAAATTGAAATTTCATCGTTTTAGTAAGAAGGTGCCTACCTTATGATTTTTTTGGAAAACTTTGAAAGGTCATAACTTTCTTTCTATTGTAGATAGAAAGCTGAATCTTCCACTGAATTTTAACGCTTTCAAAGGACTACAATCCCCAAAAAATTTCAGCTCATTTGCACTTATAGTTCCTGAGATAAAGTTGTGTTAAGCAATTGGGGTGATTTATCAATTTTTCGATTTTTCTGAGTACCTTTTTTCATAGATTTCGGCTTCAAATCTGAGAATAATTCAGTTTATGGAGTTCAGGGTATCACGAGGGACCATTAGGACACAAAATCTTCACAAAAAAATTTTTGAAATATCATCGTTTTAGTAAGAAGGTACCTACCTACCTTATGATTTTTTTGTGAAACTTTGAAAGGTCATAACTTTCTTTCTATTATAGATAAAAAGCTGAATCTTCCACTGAATTTTAACGCTTTCAAAGTACTACAATCCCTGAAAATTTCAGCTCATTTGCACTTTTAGTTCCTGAAATAGAATCCTGTTAAGTAAGTGGGGTGATTTATCAATTTTTCAATTTTTTTGAGTGCCTTTTTTCATAGATTTCGGCTTCAAATCTAATTCAATTTATGGAGTTCAGGGTATCACAAGGGACCATTAGGACACAAAATCTCGACTTCACCGAATTTTTAGTTATTTTTACTCCTGAATTACTGATGAATTTTTTGTACGCCCTTGAAACTTTATAAAAACTCAAACAATACAAAAAAGAGAGAAAGAGTTTCACATGAATGATGTGTTGAAATACAGAGAAAATGTGGACGAAATGCGTGTAGTGGGTGGTTAATAGAATAAGCAATAAGCATCTGCCAGAAAGTAGGTACTTACCTATATCAAGGAAAGCTTGGAGAAGAAAATAGACGCAATTCCAAAACCCAAGGAAGGAACAGGAAGGCTACGTAAAACGATGATAAGCGAGACTGGTCTTGGTCTTATGGTCTAGCAGAAAAAGCAAGACCACTTTGATAGGAAATACATAAACAATGATGATTTCGCAAAGTCACAAGACTTAAAGTTCAAGACCCTGAAAATTGGATATTTGAAGGTCTAAATAAATACAGAAAAAAGTAGGAGAATTTATTGTTCATGAATAATAAGTATTGATGATAATTAGCCAAATTAGCTGAAAATTCTACTGAGGATTCGATTCTAAAGTTTCTGAAGGAAACAAAAAAGTCACGCTAAATAAAACTATGAATAAGACTCAATGCTAGAATATCTGAAAAAAACTCAAAATTCGACTCAATAGGTAGGTACAATACCTTACTTAAATATTTAAGACAAATAAGACTCCAAATGATAAATAATCATGGACTCAAGGGTGTAATACTCGACTCAAAATCTCGTGCAAAACATACATAAATAATGATATCTAAATAATCCTCGAATATAATAATACAATAAATATTCAAAAGATCCTATAAGTATCATTGAATATTAAATCAATTGCCATATCAACATCAATAGATTGCAAATTAATCATGAATATGAATTTTCCTGAAAATGACGAGGAAGTAAAAAAAAAAGTGCTTGTTTCAAATCAAAGGCCATATGAAAATTATCATGCGTACTGCAGCAGCATGCTAAATTAATTCATTTAAAACTAATTGTATTATAAATATCTGCTAAAGTATCGCTTCTGGTGTCAGTTGTAAAGTGAATGCTGTTCTAGTGGTAGATTATAAAGTAGTTTGAGTTTACACTTAGCTACCTACCATTAGTGCAGACTAACCTTTGTTAAATAATGCACTGTTCGCTTTTAGTTTTTACCATTTTTATTAGTTCAGCTGTAGTTTGTTCAGCAACCAAAGTAAAACAATGTCCTAATGGTAAGCCAATCTGATTATGTCATTTATTGATTTATTAAACGAGTGATTTGTAGGTAATATTAAGAATCTCGAAGAATATATCATAATTGACAAGTGCGAGATTCCTCCATGCAAACTAAGAAGAAACACGAAACTTCCTTTGACATTTAAATTTGTGGCTGGTATGAAGATTTCATATTTAATTACTGTTTTCAGCCTAATCTAAATTATTTTTTAGAGGACGAATACAAAAGTTTAACTCAAACGGTTTACGCGGTGATTGCTGAATTAAAGTTACCATTCTTGGGTGAAGATGGCGAAGAAGTCTGTGATAGGATATTTGAAGAGGACGGCGTAACCAAAAATAACTGTAAATTTGTTAAAGGACGAATCTATACTTACAAGCATGACATTGCAGTACTTCCAGTTTATCCTAAAGTAAGTATGAGCAGAAAAATTGGTTATTTTTACTCAAATCAAATGGCTTTAGGTCAGAACTGTGGTTCATTGGGATATCACCGATCCTACTACTGGAAAGCATGCAGTATGCTTCGAAACACCAGCTAACATAGTATAATTGAACTATTAGAGACTGTTTTGTTATTTGTTTTTATTGAATAGAATATTTTTTATGCTTATAAATATTTTTTTTATTTGTATTTGTGGAAATTTCCTAGGTAAACAAATTATACTGCGGATTAAAAGTTACCTACGTCTGTAACAAAGTATATTTGAGTGAAAGTTAGTGGGGCAAAACGTTATTAACATCAACATCCTTCCTCCTCTGTTCCATGGTACGTACATCAATGCTCATCTCTTCAAGGATCCTCTATAACATGCCCATACCATATAAGCTGTCGAGTGGTTCTATTCTTTCTGTTTTTCTTTAAATTTCCGCGTTCTGTATGCTCCAGTCTTGAAACTCTACATGCCTGTCTGAAAAAGTCTGTTTCCACTGCATCTATTTCTCTTTTATCTACTACTCCAGAGTAAAGAATTCAGAACGTTAACGAATTTTTTACCTTGGTTTACTATCTGATTTTGTTGATATCAAGCTTCCCAAGTTTTTATACTTCTCACGCTTTTCCAGATCTCTAAGATCCGGGTCTTCATTATCATCTTCAATACAAAGATATTCTGTCTTGTTTTGGTTTATTTTCATTTCTCACTGTTCATATTTAAGTTTTCTATACATGTAATCCAGAAGTCCTCTTTACAGCTAGCTATTACTAGCTGATCGTCTGCAAAGAATAGGGTGGACAAGTAATGTTCTCCAACTTCTATTTCCATAGTAGAGCACTTATTTCCACAGTTCTTCAAGGCCTCCTGAATAGATATCTTCCAGTCCCAAAAAATTGCCTCTGTCAGGATAGATTCAAAGAGTTTAAAAATAGCAGAAATAATCGATATATACTACAGCAGATAATTATGTCGGATTTATCTCCAAATTTGTCGATGGGTTCTTATTATTATCAAGAGAACTTCCACAATTTAGAGAAGCAGCAGTTGTTGAAGGATCGCTGAAAATGATTTTGAAGAGGCAAGGCCAGAGATGAACAGCAGGGATCCTGTCTGGACCGGCACTTTTAGGGGAATCCACAAATCCAGTTGCTTCATTTTATCAATTATCTCCTCTATTGGACCGGCACTTTTGGGTTAAACCTTATGGAGCCCAATTCTCGTCGCAGGGAGAGGAGAGCTCCCCGAGAGAACGGATTTTTTTGTTCTTGTCAACGTAATCGAAAAGTGAACGAGAATGATAAAGACGAAAAATTTGTTCTCTCGGGGAGCTCTCCTCTCCCTGAGACGAGAATCGGGCCCCTCTGACAGGTTGGGCTGTTGAGAAATTCGCGTTGTTATGGTCTCTTCTCTGACTTAGTAAGAAGCCTACTACAGCACTTTTGTACTAATTGTGAAACTCCGAAACAACAGCAGACAGCACACGATTAAAAAATGAAGTTTGGTCCATGTGTGGCCGCCACGCCATCTTGAATGTCACGTGGTTTGGATTCGTTTCGATTTCCTAATAAATTCGAAATTTAAAAGTTTATTACAATAGGAACAAAGTAGTGAATAGTCTATTTACCTTACTTACATTTTATTTTCAATTTAGCTTAGCCTAATAATACAGTTAATTAAGTAATTTTAGGGCCCTTTATTATTTCCAGCATTACGAGCTGCAACATAGGCAGCATACATTTGCTGATAGTTTTGGGCGTAATTGTTACAGAATTCGCAATATCCTGGAGGTCCTTGGGCCCCTGGCATACCCTGTTGTCCTGGTGGACCTAAATTTTACCATAATTTCGATAAGTGAGCCAGAAAATTACCCTTAATTTAATTATTGTAATTCAGAAAATCTCATTTTCGGCTTCCTGAATTATAATAATTGAAAAGGGTTTATTTAGATATATTTACTTACCTGTCCGACCTGCTTCTCCTCGTTCACCTCTGCTACCTGGCACGCCTTCCCCAGGAAGTCCTGGTGGTCCTATAGTAACTCATTTATGAAATTTTGTTTTTAAACTTTCAACAGTTCTCACCTGGTGGGCCTCTTACTCCAGCAGGTCCCTCGATTCCGACTCCTTCCTGACCTCTATCTCCTTTTTCACCTTTTTCTCCGGGCATGCCTATGGAACCTGGAGGACCAGCAGCACCGCTAAGGCCCATGAAGCCTCTCTCTCCAGGTAGACCTGGTGGACCTGTGTTTCCTGAAATAATAATAAATAATCTTTATTGAAAAATACAATAACTACTAACAAAAATAGAACTTTGAGTACAGATGAATAATAGAAACCTAACTAATCATACTCAACCATATGCAATGCTTAAATATGCACTAATACTGATAGTGGATACAAAAATGAAGAATGGAATGGGAAACAAGCAACTCGTATTCATTTCTTACCATTTTATTTCACGGACACTTCATGTATAGGACTTGTTATGAAATATACAAGTCATACATGCATTCAAGAACCAAGAGGGTGTGACAAACCGTAATAATACAGTTGGATCCGGAATCATATTTTTATGTCAGAAAAAAATTGAAAATACTTGCTTGGAAGTCATAATAGTATAAAGATAATTTGAATGTTAATGAGTTTTTATATAATACCTTGAGGACCAGGTGGTCCTGGTGGTCCAACTCTGCCCGGTTTCGATACACCCGGAGGTCCAGGAGGTCCAATAAGCGATTGCGAAAGTTCAGCGAGTTGGTCTCTCAGAACGATTGCACAAATGTCTCGTATTTCTATTTCTGTATAAGTCCGACCCTGAAATTTGTGGATAATATAATGAGAAAATGTCCTTTGTTTGTAGAATTCTTACGGGTTGTCCTTCAATACCGGGTAATCCGGGCTGCCCTCTTTGTCCAGGAGTCCCAGGAATTCCTGGAGCTCCATCGTTTCCCGGCATGCCTGGCGGGCCACCAGGTCCTTCTGGTCCACGATCTCCTGCAGCTCCTCTTTCCCCAGGCTATATAATAGTTTAAGAAATCATAAAAAGATTCTTCAATGCAAATGACCTTCACTTACAATTCCTGCTGGTCCAGGAACACCTCTTGGTCCATGGACTCCTCTGGAATATCCTCCTTCTACCAATCCCGAAACATCTCTCATTTCTCCTGGCGGACCTGGAGGTCCGGATGGTCCCACTGCACCTGTTTTTCCTTCTGGACCAGTTAGTCCAGGCAATCCTTGTGGTCCTGGTAATCCTGGATTTCCCTAAAACAAATCAGATATGATTACATATTCACCTACAATCTTTAACATCCATATCAAGTGTAGGTACATCGCAGTTGATTGGGTACAATGAAGTAATCCTGATGTGGATACCAGGACAACAAGACATAGAGCAGATTTTTTGAAGAAACAAGTAGCAATACAAGACTTTTTCATAGCCCAGTGGACCATAATGGAAGAACTGAAAAGATGGGAAAGAAACCAAGTGGCTATGGCTGATTTAGTATCAACTTTGAGGTCTGAGAAAGACAAAAAAGATCATATCTATCTTGGCGTAAATATCTGAACAACTTCTTGACAGAATCAGAATATCACTACTAGGTAAAAGCAGAGAAATGACTTCGGCAGTTTTTGCGGTCGGCAAATCATCTACTCTGTGAATGTCTTGATCAATTTTGCAAGAGGATCTTGAAGGGAAATGGCTAAATTGACTCAAATCTTGGACTCCAACTAGAAGCAAAGTCATGCTCATAATATCTGGAAACGTAACAAAGCTGAGTCTGTATTAGTTCGAAACAACTCCAGATGCAATCTACATATATGTGATATAGGTACCTGATTTCCTGGATACCCTCTAGGTCCAATAGATCCCTGTTCACCCATTTCACCTCGACCCCCTTTACGGCCAGGTGTTCCAGATAATCCAGGCACTCCGTCTCTTCCTGGTGCACCTGCAGCTCCAGCAAAGCCTCTCGGGCCAGCTTCACCTTTAACTCCTATCGGACCCTAAAAGAATGGTAATTCAATGAAGAAGGCATTGTAAACAGTTATTTTTACTTGTTCTCCAGGAGGACCTCTTATTCCTTCGGGACCTTCAGGTCCACGAGATCCCGTCAATCCTGGTGGGCCTTGTAAACCTGGAAAACCCCGATCGCCTTTTTCTCCTGCTTCACCAGGCTCACCGTTAGAACCGGGTAGGCCAGGTACACCTACTCTATCTCCAATATCAGCAATTACACCTAAAATATCATTAAAATTGTATCATTGAATGAAAAAAAAAAAAAAAAAATCCTTACTCTAAATCATAATTTTATGAAAGGAATCCTATATAATATGTCGTTTTTATATTTACTATACTTAGATTATTATTATTAGTTTTACCTGGTAATCCAGGTCGTCCAGGTTCACCAGGTTCCCCTTTAAAACCTTGCGGTCCAGTAAGACCTAAAGGTCCTTGAGGCCCCTACAAGTTTAAATAATAAAAAAAAATATCCTATAAATAAAAAAAAATTCATACAATTGCTCCAGTAAGACCTATCGGCCCAATTGCTCCGGGCGGTCCAATAAATCCAGGATTTCCTTTAGCACCTTCCAATCCAGGTAATCCCTCTTTCCCTGGAGGTCCTCGCGCACCATCCAGTCCCGGTAAGCCTGGGTAACCTCTGGGTCCTTCGTCGCCTTTTGGTCCTGGCTCGCCTCGGTCTCCTTGACTACCTTTTTCGCCGGGAGGACCTGGAAAACCCTGTTCGCCTCGAGGACCTGGAATGGTTGCGGCTACTTCGTTGCCTATTGAAAATCCTGATGGACCTGGTGGACCCTAATGACAATTTGTGATTTAGTAGTATTTTTTTTTTTTGTAAATGTAAGTACCATTAGTCCAGGATATCCTCGTTCTCCTTGAATACCCTGATCTCCTTTATCTCCTTTAGTGCCTGTTGGTCCAAATGGGCCTTCGTTGCCATCTTGTCCAGGAAATCCTGGTAGACCTCTAGGTCCAGATAATCCTTCTTCACCAGGAGGTCCCTAAATTTAATTAATGGGTTTTAAATCAATTGCATGGGTATCTCTATTTCATACCGGTAATCCTCTGGGGCCTATAGGACCAGGTGGTCCTTCAAGTAATATAGCTTCGTTTGCGGCAACAGCTGTGCCAGGGGGACCTGGCGGTCCTGAAGGACCAACGGGTCCAGGTAGTCCAGGAACACCGTCGAATCCCCGTTCGCCTTTCAGACCAGCAAATCCATCGTCGCCCTATTATTAAGCACAACAATTTCGTATTTCATTGAAAATAATCACATAAATTACTCTGCTTCCTTTTGGACCTGGCTCGCCAATAGCTCCAGGAGGTCCTGCTGAGCCGGAATTGCCGGGAAGTCCTCTGATGCCAGGAATGCCTTGTAAGCCAGGAGTTCCCTAAATGATTTTAAATTAATAAATTGTATTGGAAAAACTATGAAATGTTAATAATGATTAAATTTGACCTACTCTAGGACCTGGAAGTCCTCTTGCTCCTTTATCTCCTGCTGATCCTTGAACACCAATTTCGCCTTTAAAGCCCTTAGGTCCAGGCATTCCCTATAATGATTAGTAGCAATTTGAGATTAGTTTATTAGATGAATAATGGAAGCATTAAAACAAAATATTATTTTCAAATGGTGGTATCTCCTGGACGCCTGGAATCTCCAATTGTTTACTAATCCTAAATTAATATTTAGTAATGATGATACATGTTCTTTTAACATACTGGATATCCAGGTGTTCCAAATTCTCCTCTTTCACCTCTAGGTCCTGGCAGTCCAGAAAGTCCTTGTGGACCGGGAAAACCTCTTTCACCTGGTAATCCCTTTTTGTAGGAAATAATTATTTTAGCCTTAACTTAATACATATTTTGTGCCAAATTATGTACTTACATCTGTACCATTGAATCCAGGTAATCCTCTAGGGCAAATTACATCGCAGGATCGATTTTGTGGTGTAACTACTCCAGGTGATGTTGGTTCAAAATAAGCTGGTTGATACTAAAAAATTATTATGAGAATATTGTGTGGTTTCACGCACTTAATTCTTACTGCTGGTTTTGGTATTTCCAGACAAAGTTCTCTTCGTGGTTTTGTTGGATCGCAACTCATTAGCATCCATTGTAAATCGATCTGAGGAAAATTATTAGTAGGTAGGTATTTTGTGATTTTTTTGTACTCACTGGAACGGTTTCTTTTGAATTAGCAAACTTCGAAATTGTTATATTTCCATTGACATCGATAGGACCGCGAGGTTCCATGGCTTTTTCCTGCATATCTTTGCAATCGACAAAAAGACTGATTTTGTCTCTGTAGACTCCGAAATGGATTTTGTGCCAATTTCTATCAAAAACCTTAAAAAAAAAAAAAAGTTGGGCAAATAAAAATAAAAAAAAATACGCGATCCTGCCAGGATTCGAACCTGGAATCTTCTGATCCGTAGTCAGACGCGTTATCCGTTGCGCCACAGGACCTATGAAGAAGTTATAGTAAATGCTGTTTATATACTGGAGTTGAGATTTTATTTTAATTTGAAGTTATTGTTGTATGGGTATTAGTAGAGTGTTGTTTTTCTTTACCTTAGCATTGAAGAATCTCAAAGTTTGCATTCGTCCTTCATAATTGGATATGGAAAATTCGATACTTTGCTGTCTAGGATTCAACGCAACGAAAAATTGCGGTCTTTGCCTGATGTCCGAAACCCTAATCATGTGCCAAGTAGATTTTGCTAGTTTTCTTGAGCGGAATGTCGAAATAAAGGAGAATTGTTCAGGTAATCCCAGCGGAAAAACGTTTCTAAAAATAAATTTCAAGTTGATTCAGTACCGTGTTGGATAGTTTTATTAACAAGCCCGGCTAGCTCAGTCGGTAGAGCATTAGGCTCTTAACCTAAGGGTCGTGGGTTCGAGCCCCACGTTGGGCGATACTTTTTTTTTTAAGTTTTGAATATGAAGCAAGTTAGAGGCGAAAATGATTGGCCTCCTAAAATTTAAATTTAATTTTGACTTTCTACCTCTACAATTTACAAAGTATCTACAAATTGCCTATGGTTATTTTGTGGCTCACTGTTAGAAATGAAAATATGTAAAATTCCATTACCAAAAGTTGATTTTATTATATGTAGTACCGTAATATATGATGTAATATGTAAATAATTTACATAATTTTCTGTTTAAGAAATTTACACAATTTTTTTCTTGTATATATACAGTGTGATTTTTTAAGAGTGCAACATATGGGGATTTTTTTTAAAATAATAACATAACCAAAATACAAACAAGGACAAAAGTTGGTGCATGTCTAATAATCATATTAGGTGCACTTAGAATGGTTGCAAGTCAAATAGCATACAGAGGGTAGCTGATGTACTGTAAAGTACCCTTATTTTAGAAAATTCAGCAAAATGTTATAGAGAAAAGTTGTTTGGAATTAAAATTTATGCCTACATACCAAAACATAGCCTCCTAAGATTTTTTTTATTTTCTTTCGAAAAAAATCTATAATTTCTATATTTTTTTTATTTTTTATTTCCGCCCTTAATACTTTTGAAAATTAATTAAAATCAAATCAATTTTACATAACTTCGTTCAAATTCCAGCATATTTGTAAAATTAACTTGGATTTTTAATTTTTTATGGAATCACAAAATTCATGTTTTGTTGCAATGATATTCAACACAACTTTAAAATGTCGCAATTTTTTTTTTTTTAACAAGTTAAAGCATTACTAATGATAATAGCCATATTAAAAAAACTCTCCTTAAAGTGCAAAAGTTTTATTTTATTAAAGTAAATATTAGTAGAATTTTGATATTTTTTGAGTCACCCTGTATGCTGTTTGACTTGCAACCATTCTAAGTGCACCTAATATGATTATCAGACATGCACCAACTTTTGGCCTTGTTTGTATTTTGATTGTGGTATTAGTAAAAAAAAATCCCATATGTTGCACACTTAATAGTAATGTCACTGTACATATATGTGTTGTTGTCCATCTCCCTTATACCTCGACTTATACTTTATGCTTTTCACTTTTTTATATTCTCTATATTATTGTATTTTTAAATTTTTTTCTTTCTACTAGAACCCGTGTGTCTAATGACTGTCATTGCATTGACATATTCGATGTAATATTCTGTATTCCGTTATGTCATAATGTCATATCTATACTTGGTTATGGGATATGAAGCTGTGCTTCAACTCCGCCATTTGTGATTTTTGAATATTTGCTAACTACCTATTTTGTGCCTGTTACTTGTAAACTCTTGAATTACAATAAAGCCATTTATTATTATTATTATTATTATTATTAATTATTATTATTTATCATTATTATTATTATTTATTTCTATATTCTTCAGTATTTTTTGACCACGATGGTATAGTATTTTTAATTGCAAGTGAAACACAAAAAAAAACATCTAGTCGGCATACATCAAACAAATATAAGACATGAGCGTCCCATATTTTTTATTTCTTTAAATGGTAATAATCAGTATCAAACAACACAACTAAATAATACGTGGAATAAAACAGCCAAATATATATGAATTGGGATGACACTGGGTTATAGAAGTCCCCTAGTCTAGTCAGCCAGGCACCTGCATTCTTATCGGGGGGACGTAAGTAGCCCACCCCAATAATTCAACCTATAGGTGCGTGGCGACATAAATTATTATTTTGGGCTACTGTAGCGATATTTAAACGCTACTTATATTTTGTATAAGGCAACTTAAACAATAGATTTTCTATGAAATTAATAGAAGGGAGCGTGATATTGAAATATCCTCGTATAATACAGTGTTTCAGGTCCAAATAAAAACACTATACCAGGTGACAACGAAATCGTTATATAAGGCGTCATTCAGTTGTCTTTAAAGTTAAAAATTTGAAAATTGGGTGGAACGGGTAAATCATTGAGACGCACATTTTTCGTAAAAAAACAATTGAATATCACCTCCGGTTACTCCGGAAATGGACCCAAGTCGAGAAATTTTTATGGAACCCTGTATATTTTTTTGCACAGTTGAATAGAGCTTAAAATTCCCTTTCCAATGACTTATCACAAATTGCATTTGTTTCCAATATGGCGGCGTAAGAAGGTATTTTTCTCAAATTCAATATGGCGGCATTCTGACGTAACCGATAATGTTTCTGTCAAACAAACACTTTTCCCAATCCATAATTTTTAGATTTGAAATGGTTTTACATCGAATTTGGAAAAAAAATGATTTTGCTCAAAAACAAGGGCATTTCAAAATTTATTTGAAATGCAAATTTTAGTTTCAAATTTTCTAAAAATTTTGAATAGGAAGAGGTACTTATTAAATTTTAGAATTAAAGTGTGTCCAATGGCCTACCGAAAAATGTGTACCAAAATGCATATTCATTTTTCGGTTAAGGTATGCAAAGGTTAGATCAGAATGCCGCCATATTGAATTTAAGAAAGTGCCTTCTCATCTCACGCCGCCATCTTAAAAGCAAATTCCACTTATCATATGTCATTGAAAAGGGAATTTTAAGCTCTACCCAACTGTGTAAAAAAATATACAGAGTTCCATAAAAATTGGACTTGGACTTGGGTCCATTTCCAAAGTAACCGGAAGTGATATTCAATTGTTTTTTTTTGAAAAGTGTGCGTCTCAATGACTTACCCGTTCCACCCGATTGTCAAATTTTCAAATTCAAAGACAACTCAATGACGCCTTGTAGAACGATTCCATTGTCACCCGGTATATAGTTATATATAGATGATAGTTTGTAGTAGATGACATACAAAATAAAAACTTTTGAAGTAATTGCAAGACTTTCATTGTACTTCAAGTCTTCGTACTTGATGAAATCAAGTACAATGCAAAGAACATTATTGAAAATAGAATAGTTCAAGTACCAAGTACAAGTTGGTAGGTATACATAGCGTTTATCCTCTATACTTCAAGTGAAATACTTCTAGTACTTATAAGAACTTGAAGTATGTACAATTTCAAGTATTTTTCTTGAAGTACTTACCTACCTACCTGACAGCTCTACTTCTGAGACAATGATTCCGTGATTCGGTGTCAGCAGCTTATTTTCCATTTTTGGAATGCCTGGTATATTCGCACAGATCAAGGCTCTTCATTTATGTCAAATGAGTTTAAAAAATATTATCTTCTTACAAAAGGAATAGCTACAAGCAGATCGACACGACACCCTATAATTCAGGAGTCAATGGTCAAACAGAACAGTTTAATGGCATAATTTGGAAGAGAATCACCAGAAATTTAAAAATTCCACACTGGGAACCGGCGTTCTTAAAGATGTATTGCATTCGATTAGTTTTTTTTTTTTTTATAAACAGCTCCACATGAAAGAATGTTCCGTCATTCAAGCAGCAATACCTTTATGACTAACTTCTGAAGCCCGTGGGGAAATGTGAAACTTTTGTAATTTTCTGTAGCTATATAGTTTTACGTGTATTATCATGTCTTTGGCATTGTCATTAGGTGTTTTCGAATCTCATGTAAAATTCTTGTTTTAAAGCCTAATTTCTAAAGGTAATTAATTCAGTACCTATATCATTACCAGCGCCGGTTCAAGGTTCTACCGGGCCCTAGGCGGCAGTAGGTATGGGGCCTTAGCTCAAAGTAACTTTTTACTGTTTTTGTCCAAATTGAAAAAAAAGCCTTGCTACTGGAAAGTGTTTTGGAACGTTCTAAATGGCTTTTTGAAATCCTAAAGTATTCCTACTTGGCTTAAAGAGTTCTGGAGCATTCTAGAAGTTTTTCAGTAATTTCTAAATTGTTCTGACAGATTTTTAAGTATTTTAGAGCCCTATTGAAGTTCCAAAGAGTTCTAAATTGGTTCAAAAAAGTTCTAAAGCTGGATTTATACAGCAAATTAAAATAAAATAAGATAACATAAGATAAAATAACAAATACATAGCTAATGCATTTCTTATTTTATTTGTTATTTTCTGTATAAACACCTTAAGGGTATCTCATGAGTTTAATTGTTATTTCTTTATTTGTTATTTTATCTTATTTTATTTTATTTGCTTAAAAGGTTTCCAGTTCTAAATAAGGATTCAATTTAGAATTCTGAAATTGTTCTCAAATAACTCTGAAGTTGAAATTGCTCTAAAATGCTCCTGAAAATTCTGATTTGGATTGAACTGTTTTAAATGCCTTTAATGGCCCGTATTATAAAACACTGAACCGATGGTTGAGTTTCAACCTTCGGTTGACTCCATGCAAATTGATAGGATTCAACCGAAGGTTGAAACTCAACTATCAGTTCAATGCTTTATAATACCGGCCCTAAGAGTTCTAAAATTCTACAGCAATCTAAATTTGCTCTTAAAAGCCTTCTGAAAGGCGTTTTGTAACGTTTAATCTGAACCCTAAGATTCTGGCGCTTTTCAAAATGTTTCTGGGGATTGTAGAGTGTCTGAGTTTGAGTGTTTTGGAGCGTCCTAAAGTAACTTCTGAGTTGTTCTAAAATGCTTTTGGAAATCAGTGTTTGAATGTTTTGGGGCATTCTAAAATGGTTCTGAAATTTCCAAAATTTTCTTAAGCGCTACATAGTGCTTTTGGAAATTCTGAATTTAATTTTAAATGTTTTGAACTTTTCAAAAGGCCTATTAAAGTTCTAAAGTGTTTTGTAGCATTTTGAATGGTTTCCAGTAACTTCTAAATTAAATGAGAAACGAATTCTGTGGAAAATTTTGTTAGGTTCTAATTAGGAAGCGATAAGAAGAATGTGTTCTAATTTATATTTCCATTCATCAATAAAACATGAGGCATAGAACAAAGAACT